ACACAACCCAATCCGGATATTTAATACGAGCAAACGAATGGAAATCTTTTCCAAAGAATTAACGTGCTCCTTCACGAATTCGCTAATCATAAAATGGAATTAAACAGGTTACACCAACCGATTCTCGAAACGCTTGGGAAGGGAAATCTGCTGCGAAAATCCAGAGTCACCCTCCCCTGATCCAGATACCAGGGTCCTCGATCGACCACCGTCGCTGTCCACCGCGAAAAAATCGAGGGGAAAGGGGAAGGGAGAAAAGTGGCGAGGAAAGGAGTTACAGTCGATGCACTGTACGGAAAGGGGATATTTAATTGAATACACGGATAGGATCGATGCACGGTAGCCGGTCGATGTATCCGCGTAATAGACGCATTTACCCGGCCATTTGCGGGGCCACGTATGCTAGGCCGAAAGCCGTCACGTCGAACGGACGCGTGGTTCGCGTAAGCCTGGTGCGGCAACACAGCAACGTTGATCGGCCAAGCAATCGGCACGAAAACAACGGCGCATCCGAGCCTCGGCTGGATGATTGCCAGCTCTCGAGAACCAGCCTCGCGTCCCGCCCTCGAAATAGGGAGAGAGGCCTCTTCTTTCCCTTGTGACGATCTTCGATCTTCTCTCGAGTGACTTTGCACCGTGTCGATCGAATCAGGATCATTCTTCAATTGGATGGAACCTTTTCTCCCAGGCCATCCACGGAAAATAACCTTAGGCTCTCCTATGCTGGAGTACGTACAGCTGGAACCGTATCGTATACCTTCGCGTTGTGGATCCGTTGTGGGAAGGGTGGGGGGAGTGGAAGCAAGTAGCAGCTGAACGGCAGCGGGAATAAAGTGGAGTAGACCGGAATAGAGTACNTTATTGATTTTTTGGGTGGACAGGTGGAGTGGCTCGGTTTTTCGGAATATCGGAATATCGTGGGTGAGGGGGGGATAAAGGGTGAGTTTTGGGTAAATTTATTAATGGCCGTACTACGGATGATCGTGAGACGAGATCGGAGAGATTGCGTTGTCCTTCGAATCGAGAAGAGTGTCCAATTTTTTCTTTTCTTTCTTTTTTTATATTATAAATTATATCTCGTTTCATTTATCTTGAAAAACTTCAATTGCTTTTAATGAACAAGTTTTAAAATATGTATATAGATATTTTGTTAACGCTTGTTTTATTGCCCCTTAATCTTTAAAAATGTTAGTTTTCATTCGAACCTCAAAGATTCTGCGAGTTTCGCAAAAAAGTATGAATTAAAAGTAGTGACTTAATTTTGAGAATAATAAGGAAAAAAATTCACATATTTTTTTTTAGGAGGCTCTTACCAATCTCCAATCTTCGAGGCGACGAAATCTGCGGATGGATGGCGCGTTCTCCAAGCTTCCGGGTCCAGAAAGACGAAAAGAAAAAATGAAGCAAAGACTAGACTTAGCTTCGAGCCAAATCACGATCTGACTCGAGAAATCAAGGAATTAAGTTCCAAGAATAATTTGAAAAAGATAGAATTCAGACAAGTTGCGTTTATGATATCTGTTGAATCGATTAGAATTTTTTTCCAAGATTGGAGAAGAAACAATCATTCTGAAGTATCGTGGAAAATATCGAGAATTTTATATCAATCAAATGTATCTTTATTCTAGTGAAGAATTATTCGTAGTGAAGTCGAGATAGGAATGTTGCAGGATAATTGAAATTATGTAAAGACGCTGAAGAAATTGGCACAAAAATTATATTATTACAAAGTTACATTTTTACAATTAATTTTACGTTAATTGTAAGATCGAAAGGAACGAATAACACATCGTTTTCCAATTTCACGACTCGTTTCACAGAGATATAACAATTTCGCGAAAAATTGTTACGATTTTAAGGCCACGT